TTTCGTAAAAACGGCTATTTTTGGAGTTTTTGCCCTCTGGAGGCTAAACCGTTGACCTGAGGTCAAATCTGAGAACATTACTCAGAAAGGTCTGTAAAAGGGCTATCGAATGCGCTTTTCCGCGGCGCTGTAGCTCTATCGGTTCCCGAGATAGCCGTTGGCAGTTTCCAAAATGTTGAAATAGTCAACATTTTACCTTTGGTGACCTCTGGTGACCTGACCTTTGACCTGACCCAAAAAATGACCGAAGTGTTTTCGTCCTTATTTTTGACGCTCTTTCGATTGCCGCTTACCGCGTGTCGCTACGTGGCCCAGGAGCCGAGTTAGACGGGGGGGGGGCGTGAAAACGCCCCCCCCCCAGCACTCGGCGGAAAGTTCAGGCCACCAGCACGGCGCGGGTTAAAAAGAAGTCGGTCGTAGACACGCATTTTTGGCCTCTACGTTCGCACGCCAATATCGTACGCCCAATAAATATATGACAAGTATTCATCTGATTAAGGAATAAGTTGCAAAAAACTGGCTGCAGTTTGATTGCAGTCTGTTCCCGAATTACCAATTTTGTTACCGCACTGTCGATATTCGTCAAAGTCGGAAGAGCTTTTATGAAACACACTCGAATGACAACGGATTCCTGTATTATTTCATCGATCAGATTAGACATGTATAGAGATAAATCGATGACAGCCCGCCGTGAGCATGCAACTTAACAATCAGCCCCAAGTTACCTTCATATACATACGTCTAATATGAATATTTTTGACTTCAACTTGATTCCAACTAAGGGGATTCATCCCCCTGGCGGCAGATACGCAAAAGCTATAGTTAGAGGGCATTGCTCCTTTAGATGACGCTCCTAGACGGCTGGAAATTGAGAATTTCGTCCCGTGATACGCTAACAGCTATGCCGAAATGTTTTTTTTTTTTTTGTACATGGTGATTCTTACACGAAAAGCTATCTAATAGCCTGCTAACCACCGTCCGATTTTTTACTTTTCATCTTAGTTTTCGCTACTTTTAGGTAGGTAGGTACTTTACCTAATACCTTGCCAAGTGCCCACCTACTTTCAAAAGGTCAATGCCGCCCCTGTCATATCCAGCAGGAGCTGCATGCTATCACCCATTGGCAGTGAGAAATATTGATCAATGGCCATCGCCCAGCACCAATTGTCTTTTCGTTGGCTACGTTCGCATAGTATGCACTATGCATTAGTGACGTCAATCACAGAAAATCAGAACACCGATACCAAACCAAATACAAACCAAAACCATAGGAAAATACCGAAACCGAACCGATCGGTTGGGCTGCAAATATTTCTCTTATGCAACATGTTCATTAGAAGAATACTTACCTCTGATTTCTTAGGTGCACGCCGTTGCAAATGTATAAAAAACGCACAATGACAGAGGACACGAGAATTGAAGTCGCCGAGTGGATTCGAACCACCAACCTCCGTATCACCAGTTCGATACTCTAACCACTTCGCCATGGCGACAACGCATGTCGGTCAGCTTAACCCGCGCCCCACTGGGGGGGGGGGGCTATTTATAGCCCCCCCTCCCGTTTTTCTGCAATAACTTCCAAACCGCTCGACGGATCGACGCCAAACTTTCAGTACCTTCGGCTGCATCAATTTGACACCTTGTGTCAAAATTTGAACTTCGTAGCTACCATAGGTCGGCCGGAAATGACGTCAGAGTGACGTCATGTTCGGCCGATTTCGACGCAAAACATTGAACCACGGCAATCGCTCCCAAGAGCTCAGTTTTTAAGCTAGATCCAATTTCTTTGCATGAAAGAGCTCAGAATTGACCGCGCTATCAAACTGCAATCTCGGATTTTCAAAATTTGGAAAATTCTGAAAATTTTATATAATAATATTCAAAATTTATATTTTTATATTTTTCTCAAAAAGTTTTTGACTTTTCGAAAAAACCGGAATATATGTGACAGAACGCATGATTATGACTAACTCTAGCAAGTTTTAGCTAAATATCTTCAAGAATGGCCAAGTTATACGCATTATTGCAAAAAATTCACTATTATTGATTTTTCAAATAAATTTTTCAGTACGTATTTGACATCGTACACCAATATAAATGGCACCATCGTGTTTCTGAGCTCAAACTGCATCCAATAGACACCTTTTTAGTTGAAAAATTTTAACTTCAAAATTTGACCCTTTTTTACCTGAAAGTGACCTGACCTAAGCTAAATTCGACTCAAAATGACCTCGAATGACACAGACGACATCAAATTCGAAATCTATGGCCTAAATGGACCATAAAACATGTGTCACGTGACCGACGCATGGTATAATATTTTCGTGACCTGTGATGACCTGACCCTGACCTGAAAATCAAAGTACAAGTTTGGTACCCTCAAGGTAGCTAGAGAATCTGTTCACGAGTGTGGAAACCAAAAATGAGCCTGATCTGACTTGTAAGACGGCGGCCAGAGCCCAAAATGTGAACAAGCGAAAATGCTAATAATTTTTACTTTGACCTGACCTGTGACGTCATCGGTGACCTCGAGGTCAATGAAATTAGGTTTCGCTCGACAGTTTTTCCGGGGCTATCAGACGCCGTTTGAATTTTGACGATCGGCCCAGTAGTTTCGGAGTTAGGAGGGGGGGCTATGAATAGCCCCCCCCCCCCCCAGTAGGGCGTGTTATACACAGACCCCAGTGGGGCGCGGGTTAAATATCGTTAAGTTAAAACCTAGCTTCAATAGACGCCACCAAGGGCGAGGACCGAACGTATGACGCCACGTTGACGTCACTCAAGAGGCACGCTATTGGTCGGCCGATTCGTGTAATACACTTGGCGAATAAGCGGCCCGGCGCGGGTTAATGGCGGCGGCCACGGTTTAGAGGTTGGTTGTGTGTGCGTTTAGCGTAAAATGATGAAGGCTTGCGCTGCATATAACTACGGAATCCGCCAGTACCTGAGGACTGAGATAACGAAAATCCAGAAATTTGACATGCATGTTGCGTTGGCCTGTATCGTCTGAACGAAAACAATGAACAAAAGGTACCTACAGTCCTTGAGCTGTGAAGGTGCGCACTGCGCATGTTTCGGACTTTGACCTCACCTCGGGACTTGACCTTTTGGGCTAGGGGGTCAAAAGTTGCACACAAGACGTGCTATGTGCGAATGCAAGCCAGGTTCGCCAGGTTGCATGCCGCCGTTTTCAAGATTTCGCGGAAGACAAGTAGGTGGGAAGGCAGATTCTGCCGCCCCTCCGGTCAGAGGTGAAAAAATGTCTACGCTGTCTCCAACTGTATAAGCTGGCATACAGTTGGAGACAGCGTCTGTCTCTGTCTCCAGGCAAATGGCAAACTTTTATTAGCTGAGCAGTACACGAAGCCCTTATTTATACAACCTTTACAATATTCTGGCTTTGAAAGACAATCAAGTTTTGGTAGATAAAAGGTGAAATATTTTCAAAAGCATAGGCAGCGGAACGGGGAGGGGCGGGAGGGCACCGGGGCACCGTGCCCCCCTTGATTTTGGAATTTAACATTAGCGCTTGTATGGAAAAAAATGGGACTAAAAGTCGGCATCCCCCCCTTCCCCACCCCTTAATTTAAGGTGTTCTGCCGCTACTGTTCGAAAGCTCAAAAAGGATCAAAAAGTGGAAACAGAATATTTTGGATTTTGGAGCTGCTTTTGGGGGAGTGTTCCTTTTATACCTCCAAAAACTTTCTGCCATCTGGACCCAACAATATCCATTGGAAGACTGGTTGTGTTTATGTTGTGTTTCATGCTTTTGAACCGCAGTTATCACGAATGCCGCTAACAAATGCGAAGGGTGTATTTGTTATTTCTGCATCTGGGATAGACTAATGGCTAGCCCTTATACTTAAATCGCGATGTCAGCTCAAAACGATTGAACTGATGGTTTAACAATGCTTATAGAGCTTGTGTCAGACCCAAGTCAGACCATACAAAATCAGCTAAGCCCTGCGTCAGTCTTCCTGGACCAACCTTTCGATTTTGGACGGTCCGCGTGGCGCGCGCATTGGGGTCCGCCTGATGAAAGACGCCGTTGTACCATTTTATGGCACACAAATGTTACGGTCGGTCCTTGGGCAATGGGCAGCAGTGTGGAGGCTGTGAGGGGATCATCTAGACGTGTGTGCTGGTGGTTGCTCTCTTTCATCTACACAAAGGCAATGTAATGGAAATTTTCAGCTTACTTTGTTGTTAAATCAGCAATACTTATAAATACAATGGGTGTTATTTTTTTAACTAAAAGCCGGACGCAAGTATCAGCTCTCGAAAGGACTATTCCTTTGGAGGTCGGCACTTCATACAAATCGTAAGAATTACGAACAAATTTAGGCTAGCAAGGCGTTCAAACATTTCTATGTATACCTAAAATAGACAAAAAAGCAGGCTAGCAGTGCAGTTGTGGGCATCATTACCGGGTGTTATTCCAAAACAGAGGGCTAGTCCATGAGCAACGCGCAAATGCCTTAATTTCCCTACCAACTCTCCAATTAAAAGCAAGTTATATTTGAGTAACGTCGCGCCTGCCTTAAAATGACTCGCGGTCCGCGGATACTCCAGGCAAACTACAAAGTGTTTTATACGAACCTTGTTTGTAAAGTGCAATGCTGCCCGTTGTCCCCGGATACATCTCCCCACCCCTGCCGCCCGCTCCCCGGCCCGTCCGCCACGGTCGGGCCAGGCCGGCCCGTGGCCTCGGGATCCGCCGACCTTCAGTGTAGGTGGCGCTACCACTAACCGCCGGGGGCCTTACCAGCCGCCATGGTCACCGTTGGCAGGTCGAGAAATGCAGAAATGCAAGGGACTGATTTGGCTACTGGAATGAAGTTATGCATTGATAATGAGAACGTCATCTCGCATATCCCTACTATTTTAAAAGCTATAATTACCTTACTAATAGAGGTCAATGCCCTTTGGTAAAGTCCGTCTGACGCCTGCCCTGGGGCGGTAAGCCGACGGCCGCGCCACCTGGTCCGGGTGACGGGGCCTGGTCAGTGGCCACTCGGAGCGGGCACGGCGCGGTGACTGTAGGTAGGCGGCCCGTGGCCGCTGCTCCGCCGGCCAAGCATGCGCTCTCCCCTGCCGCAGTGGGCCGGTCGGCGAATGCTGTTGGTCGTGCTCTCGGGGCTTGTAGCCACCTTGCTCGTGTCTTGGCTGGGTGATCTGGAAACACGGTAAGCGAAACAACGATAACGCCCCTGACAGAAGTCTGCCTCCACATGTCATCGGCTCGCAGTTAGGTAGGGGAGACCCGGGAGGTATGGGCCGGTTTTGTGAAAAGGCAATTTTTTTTCCAACTTGGGCGGTGGCTAGACCCGGTTTTTCACTCTGTGTACGTGAAATTGCCTTTCGCCCGCAATATGTGCCTGATATTAGGCATCTGGGACCGACTATTTTGTCTCGAGATAACTTTCAATAAATCATGCACTTTTTCGATCCACCAAAATACACCGGGAGGTATAGGGCCATGGCCCGGGAGGTATGGGCCGGTGCCATGTTTCATATTATTTTCTCGACAATGAGAACAATACTCGTGGCTGGTATCTACCTTGATCTCTTTAGAGCCCAGGAACCGCATAAGCGGCCAACAGCTTACTTCATGGAGGTTACTTAGGCACATATGTGTTTTGGTAAATTCAATCATGCTCCACGAAATAAGCTAAATAATATTTTTTTTCTGTTCGAATGAAATTTGTAGTTGAATTTTCGACCATGCGCGACAAAAATGAAACTTATTTAAAAGGACATTTAATGAAAGCATGATTTCATTGATTTAGGATCAACGGGGGTCGGTGGCCCGAACCTCCCGGTTAGGACGCCATAACCCGCGAGTTGCTGGGGGGGGGGGGGGGCGGGGGCGTTAAACGCCCCCACTTTTTTCGCCGGGCCATAGCATAAAAACGGCGCGCCGCGCCAAATTTTGGGTACCTTTAGGGAATTGATTGAAGTTTATTGTGACAAAGTTTCAAAAAAATCGGTCGGAAAATTTTTGAGATATCGAGGTTTTAGTGACGTCATGATTTCTGAGTTTTCGACCAAAAACGGCATATGTTCAAAAAATCATATAAAATCACAGAATAGACATACAGACATGCCATAACCGCCAATACCATGAACAATCAAATGGCTATCTTCGATTATTGATTATCGTTCCGCATTTTCCAAAATCTTGAACTGAATCTTGGCAATTTCTCGTGACTACTTCACGACCATGATACACGCATTTCTTAAATTGAACTTTTTGAGACAAACATGTACACATATGATAAGTTCAATGTCACCATCGTGTTCTACGCCCCAAATTACCCATAAAACATGTGTCACAGGCTGCGAATATCAGTTTTGATTTTCGGGGATATGTGCCTACCCGGTTGACCTGACCTTGACCCTGACCTATGCTTGACTGACCCCTACATGGAGCTGACACTCTTGTAGGCGTTATATGATGGATTGTACACCGTTTTGTCAGAGTTAATGACGAGAGGCGCCCATTGCGAAGTCCTGAAGTCCATGCTACTGAAAGCCCGATTTCAGGTGTTTGACCTGACCTTGACCCGACCTGTGAACCAAAGTTCAACTTTAAAGTACTCATCTGAAGCGTCTCGTCGCGTTCTTTCGTTTGCCGCCTCGTGCGTTTCGCTGCGCCTATTGGTTCTCGAGTTATCGGCTGGGGGCGTTTAACGCCCCCCCCCCCAGCAAACGGTGTGTGGGGAAATACCCCAGCAACTGCCGGGATAATGTGCGTAACATCTCAGCTCATAATCTTGCAAGAAAGCTTCAAATTGTCTATCCATTCTTAATTTGCATGCTTTAAACTTTATGTTAGCGATGGTCTAACATAATAAAACGAGCCTGGTTCAAATTTATCACGAATTTTCTATATGTACCGTATTTTACTCGGAGAGGGCAAAAACACTCTATTATCACTCATTGCCAAAAAAGACCGAGGAAGATTTTGAAAATCACGTGGGTTGTTATAACGGAATGGCTGCTACCAGTTTACGCGGTCAAATGTGTAAAAATACGCAACACTTCTTCAAAACTGCGATGGCCCATACCTCCAGGGGGCCCATACCTCCCGGTTCTCCCCTACTAATTAACGATCAGGAACTAGATAACTGGCTAAGTGATTGAAATGTGTCCCAATGTCCATTGTCCACTGTCCTGTGTCCACTTATGTCCATTGTCCACTGTCCTGTGTCCACTATGTCCATTGTCCACTGTCCTGTGTCCACTATGTCCATTGTCCACTGTCCTGTGTCCACTATGTCCACTGTCCTGTGTCCCAATGTCCATTGTCCACTGTCCTGTGTCCACTATGTCCAAATACCCGAAGGTTGTTTCTTCATTAGACAAACACTATTCTTTAGAATTGTGTTTTTCTATTGAAAAACAAACTGAGGGTGTTTCCAATTCGGGATAGGATTCGTGTTTGGTGCAGCGAATTGGGGCACCTTGCTAAATTGGTTTCACACGGCAGTAGTTATACAAAATATATAAAACGACGCAACTGTAGGACATAAACACGGGGAAACATACATAATCAAATAATGGTATTGTGCATACGTCTGCGCTCTTGTTGCCCTTCGGAACTTATCGTTATATGGGGCATTCCACGATAGATCGTACCAGGCCCGTCACCCTCATCTCTCAGATTTTAATGAAAATCGGTCCTAGGGGTAATCATAGGCCCCAAAGACGCCTGGCAAAATATCAGACTGCTCAGATCAAAACTTTTTGAGTTATATCGCATTACATTTTTTTAACTTCGGTTTGTAACGGTGAGTTTGATGGCCTAAAACTCAAGAACGGGTTAAGCAACCAACAAACAGTAAACAACACTAAGCTTGCGATGAATCAAAAATTAATATTGCTATTTGAAAATTCCAAAGAAAAATTTTCATTGTTGAGCAAAAACCTTAATTTTTTCATTTACCTCTAATGACTTTTGGGACCAAAATTTTTCACATTTTTATTTTTCAAAATAAACTTCATGTCATTGCAAATCGACATGCAAAAAATTAGAAAGGTGTTCTTTTTATAAGTTCCTCATTTTCCCGTAAACAAAATGGGTTTCGGAGGGGTTGATACGACCCCAGCGCGCCATTTCGCTTCTAATAGAGCTAGAGCCTCGCGGAAAAAATGAGCGTGTGTGCCGTTACAAGTCGCAGCGATTGGTAACCGATTTTAAGGTCTCAGGTTAACCGGTAGCGTCTGAGGTCAAGTCAAGTGACTGAAGTTACGGGTTCGGTTTTTAGTAAATAACTTCGCAAAAAAATGGCCGCAGAGCCGCGATTTTGGCATCATTGTGTTCGCCTACCTCTGGTGCATCGAATGGTATACTTGTTGCTAGGGTGAGGTCAACTTAAGTAGTTGACCTCGGGTCAAGGTCAGGTCAGAGCCCCTCAGGTCACAAGCTGGGCGAAGGGCATATGGCATATGGCATATCATTCGATTCGGAAGGTCTTCCCGAGTCCATTGGTGGCTTTCCCGACTCTCTAGCTCCGTTTGATCGGGAGTTATTGACGAAAAACTCGTACGACCCAAGTGACGTCATAAATGACGTCACGCAAGGCTAACAATGCAAAAGTGAAGCATTGGACTTTGCAAGGAGTGCATGAAATCACGATTCCATGTACGTGAGATAGTTTTAGATCATTCTCGGCGCCAAAATAACAGTTTTTATATTTCCCATTGACTTATAACAGTGATGTCACATGACCGACCTGAACTCATGTAACCTGAAAAAAATCCCAGATATACAAGTTGTGAGACCTCTGGAGGACACCATGCATGCGTCCTGTAACTTTCATCTCGGACAGCTATGGTCATTGGCGTCCAAAACAATGTCAGAACCAAACAGCCTTTTTCACCCTCGCGCTTATAGGAAAGAGGGTTGGATGAACCCTCTTTTCACTTTTTCAGATGACTCAGACTTCAATTGGAATTTCAGTAACCCGTGATGTCACTAGGCAGCTTTACCACGCCATTTGCAAGCTCCCCTCCCGAAATCACTATTCGAAACCGTTATCGTGACGTAAAATAAATTCATTTATAGAAAGAACACCTTCCTAATTTTTTGCATACTTCTTAACAATGAGCCAAATATTTTTTTTAAAGAAATAAAAATTCAAAAAAATTTGGTCCCAAAGTCCAAAAAATACAATTGAAAGAAAACTCGATATGTCATATATCAAAAATAGCGTATTTTTCAAAATTTCAAAAATACATATTAATCTCTGTTTCATTGCAAGTTCAATGTTATATAACATTTGGTATTTGAATAATCCGTCTTAGAGTTACAGCCCGCCAAACTTAGCGCTGCAAAGCAAGATCCAAAAAATGTTATACACCATAACTAAAAAATACTTATCTGATAACCCTGAAATTGTTACAGGTGGATTCAGAGCCCCTGATTACCCCGGAGACCAATTCTTGTCAAATTCCGAGAGATGAGGGTGTCAAATTGGAAAAAAGTGGTACGATCTATTGTGGAATGCCCCATATACCTGAACTAAATGTTGGTCAAAATTAGGTACACTTATGCAACCTTCTCCTCATTTAAATGTATTTTATGTCACGCTCGACTTGTTTAAGCACGAGTTTATAAATGAACGAGTGAAACGAGTTCATTTATAAACGAGTCCTTAACCCTCCAGGCGGTGGGGGGGGGGGCATTTTCCCCCCCCCTTTATTATTATTATTATTTTTTTTTGATATATCTAGAACCGCTGCGCCGGTCGTCACCAAACTTTCAGTAGCCTCCCGTGAATAGCTTTTACACATTGTGACCAAAACTTTTTCCAAAGGCTATGATAGGTTGGCCGCTAATGACTTCGGAGTGACGTCATTTCTGCCATTTTCGACCCAAAAAAGGTTTCGCGGGAAGAGCTGTCAGGCCTACAGCTTTAGAGATAGAGGGAAATGTTTGGAGATAAATGGTGTAAAAGTAACAGGGCTAAAAACTGTTATCTCGGATTTTTGAAATTTTTTAAGTTTGGCCCCCAAAAATTAAAAAAAAGAATAATCCAGAAAAATCCAGCCGAAAATTCCAGAAAAAATCCGAATTTCGAAAAAAACGGAATATATGTAATAGTCCCTACCGCTTTTTATCCACATACCAACTTTGAGATCGATGCCTCTTTATTTGGCCAAGTTATAGCAAAAAAAAAAA